CCCTCGGCATCGTACTCATAGATTTCGTCCTCTTCGCCTGTGACGCCGACGTTCGGATTCTCCTCCATGAACCGCAAATAGGTCTCCATTTCATCCTCCTGTTCAATATCATCTCGAACTCCTCTAGGAACGATAAAGGGAACGATAAAACAAAAAAATATTATAACGTACTTCTGACACAGGTACTAGCTAAAAACCAAAGCAAGTGTTTCTCCGATGCTTCTGTGAGGGGAACCCATTATTCTCTATGCGGTTTACGATATATAAACTGCAGAGAATAATCAAGGTAATAATTTCAGGAAGTATTAAGCACATGCTAGAAGATACTACGTCACTAGGTCTAAGGCCTAGTGACAGATGTATATATAGTCGACGACGGCGAATAAAGCGGATATATACATATGTATATTCTTTGGTCTTCATTCAGGAATTTTAGTTTGCAATAATAAATATGTGCCGCAATCAACCACAAGTCCCAAAAGAAGTCACTGGAGTTGGAGCTGTCGGGTAAGAAGCTTAAAGAAATCTAGATGCAATCATAGAACAGATAGCCTGTGAAGAAAGTCTGAAAAAGGAAACGATATGGAGAGGTGGCGAATCCGACAAATGTTGTGAATGGAATTTAGGCGCAACATAACTAAGACGTCGGTGCCATTAAGATAAAGAAACAATAGTATATCTCTGCAACTTTGCAAAAGATAGTTGTTGAAAGCTCACTTGTTTTCTTTGGGTTTTTGTTTTTTGTTCGATCCTTTATCCGCAGAGTTTATTTTCTGAACCTCGTGCTGCAAGTAAGAACAAGTCATTGGGGAACAAATGTGGAATAAAATGTGACTGTTGAAAAATTAAAAGACCAAGGCACCAAATAGGGAAGAGGTTGGGGACTCCTATCACTTGGGGAATTTATAGGAACCTTTCCTAGCAAAAGAAGTTTCTTATACGAGCAAGTTTGCTTGTTAAGGTAAGGTATTACCTCATGGAAACTCGGTTAATGGAACCAAGCTAAGGAAGAACAGAAAAGTTGGTTTAGTTTGGACGCTTACACAAAGGTCATCTAAGCCGAGATTATGTGAAAACTCAGAGGCGATAGGGTACCTCGATGCTTTCCATGAACTTGTCGAGGGGATCATCCGAATCGTCGGACTCGGTAGCCTCGTTACCGGCTTCGTCCGTCGCCTGGCCTGCAGGACTTCCTGGCGCTGGTTGATACTCAAGCTCCTCTCCTCCTTCGTCGTCGTTAAAGTAGCTAATTTAAGGCAGACGAAGAGAAGTAGCGTAGACACAGGTGAAAAAGACAGCAACACATATCGATTTTTTGCTGCTTGGAAGAAGATAAAGTAAATGGAGTAAAAATATGACGAGATAGATGAGCGGACGGATGAAGAAAGATGAAAGGGAGAAAGAGAAAATAGAATGAGTGAGGAGAAGAGGTAACGAAAACAAAGCAGTAGCAGCAAATCCGTGAGCTCGGAAAGCCAGAGAAGTGGATAATTAGTACGAGAACGAGAAGACCAGAAAGAAACCTACTCATCATCGTCGTGCATGCGACGCTTCCCTAAGTTAGAGAAAGCCCGTGGAGCCCCGCCGCTAGTGCTGCCAACACCACCCAGAGAGTCATGTGACTGTCCGCGACCAGAAGCAAAACGCGTCTGAGTACCAGGTGGCAGCGAGACAGCGAGGGCAGAAGGTGGGG